TGTGATGGGTAAAAGTATGATTTGATGGATAAATTATTAGTAAAAAGGTATGATGTGATAGTTAGGGTATGAAAAAGTAAGGGGTAAAAGTGACTTTTTAATAGAAATGAGAAGTGTTTTGTGGGACGGATAAAAAAAGAAAGGAGAAAGGTTTTATGGGATGGAGGGAGTAATACTTAATTTTTAACCAAGAATATTACAATTAGCATTTAAGAACATTTTTTGATCGTCATGAATTTATAACAATTACTACCATAAATTCTTCTGTTTAATTTTGCAGAAGAAGAAACAGAGAAAATCAGATCTTGCGTGAAGAATTAAAGGCTATCCCTCAAAGAAAATTATAGCCTTAAAGGCAATGCATAAAACAATTATATGGAAGTCAATGATGACTCAATGATGACATGCCTCTTGAGGTGTTTAAAAAGTGTCTTGTCACCGTCCAAATTTCGTCATTCTATATACTGAACTCTCAAATTTTATATATAAAGATTTAGATGTAGATATAGATATATTTTTCCATTTATATTTTTGTAGTTTCTTAATATACATAGTATACATTTCTATTTTCAAAAAGATTTTGAAATATCAAATTTATATTATTCTATTTTATTTTTAAAGAAAATACTGTTTGTATATGATTTGTTTTTCTGTTTAAAATAAATATCAGCTATTTTTTACATCGATATTACGGTTTTTTGTTTTTTGGTGAAATCAAGTTGCTAGTGGATTTTTTAATAGTGTAGAAGTATTTAAAAAACAGTGTCAACCTTTTAAACCTTTTATCCATTAATAGCATAAAGGCCATCAATTTAATCGGCATCAATTTCTTACATGAATTTAATCATTTTTTTAATTTCTAAGATGATAATTATTTTTGCATATTTATACAAATAAGGCATGTCTTATTTTTAAAAATGCATCACGGGCCATATTTAACTTATTTTCCTTTACATATTCGTAATATTATGTTTAAGAAAGTAAGTATTAAACATTTTTCTTTTTTTTTACAACAAAAAAACTTATATACAGAGTAATTTTCAAATGCTATGTATTTTTATAAATAAAGCGTGTATTATTTAAACAATTAGCATTTAAGAACATTTTTTTATTGTAATGCATTTATATCAATTAATACCATAAATTCTCCTGGTCAATTTTACAGAAGAAGAAACACAGAAAATTAAATCTTGTGCGAAAAATTAAAGGCTATCCCTAAATGAAAATTATAGACTTAAAGGCAATGCATAAAAAAATTCTATGAAGTCAATGATGACTCAATAATGACATGGCTCTTGAGGTGTTAAAAAAGTGTCCCGTCACCATGCCAAATGTCGTTATTCTAGATACTTTACTCCCAAATTTTATACTCCGTGCATAAATATAAAGATAAAGATAAGCACCCACATTGCCCATCTACTGAATTAATTGAAAGGGTACCTAGCCAAAAATAAAAGTGAATTTCATAAATGGTCCCTAGTTAAAGTTAAATTTTCATATTTAGTTTTCAATTATAAAATATTACAAAAATGATCCTGAACTTTCGAAAACTCTTCCAAAATCGGTCCTTGGGGGACTACTTGTGGAAACTTTTTTTTAAAATCATATTTGGCCTTAAAGACTATTTATGGAATACTTTTAAAAAATTGAGGATGATTTATGCATGTAATATCTTATAATTGAGGACTAAATATGAAAAAACACATGTAATTAGGGACTATTTGTGGAATTTACTCAAAAAATAAATGATCACAAAAAATGCTCCCTCTTATAGTCTTATTATATACTGAGTATATCTATCCGTTCTACAAAACCCTTTCCCTTTCGTTTTTTTGAATTTCCTGAAACATTTCCACTTTCTATTAAAAAACCAATTTTTCCCTTACTTTTTCATACCCTACTTATCACATTATACTTTTTCACTAATAACAAAACTATCACATCAGGGGCAAAATTGGAAAATCAACTAAAATTACACTTTCCTTATTTTTTGTCAAAAGTTAAAAATGGAAGGGTTTAAAAGAACGGAAGGAGTATTTTCCATTAAATCCACAAGGATTTGCAATCCCAATTTTCTCTAGGTAGGCCGCTGGAGAGGAAAGAGGGGTCCTAGTGGAGAACGTGTTCCTGGCGCAACCCCGGCAATGGTATTTTCCGGCGAAGAGCCACTGGGTAGCAAAAATTCTTATTAGTTGCAGCAGCAAACTTCTCTAGATCTGTTTCTTTTTTTTTTCTTTTTTCTTTTTACTTTTTATTTTTTTTCTTATTAGTTGCCCTCCGCCACGTGCCGCCCACACTTCTCCCTCCAACGTGCTTCTGGCCATTTTTTTGGTAATTTGATAATTTGATTTTTTTTCTTAATTGGTGTATTTTTTAAAAAATGTTTGTTTTTGTTTTGTATTAAACCAACATGAATATTATTTTCAAAATACTTCTTTATATAAATTATATACTCCGTACTATACAATTTTTATTTAATTTTGAGTTAAATGTTAAAAATGGTTGACTATAAAAAATCAAATTGGAGAAATTCTCAAAGAATATTGCACCCACAAACATTTGAACCTGGCTCTGCCTATGAGTTCTTATCACAAAAAGGAGGGTACCCAGCAGCAATTTTTTGTTTATCTCATACTTTTGTTTGGTTTTATCTTTTTGTACTCAACCACAATAGATCTAATCATATATAATGGTCAACAACTAATATGAGTTTTATTTAATCAATCTTCAAATTAATCAATTTTAATTACAAAAAATAAAAATTAAATAAATACTATAGAATAGAAGTAGTATTAAGGTATTTTAATCCATGTAAGTAATAACTTTGTCTTTTTGTTTTTGAAGAAAACTTTTTTCTTTTCTGTTTTTGTTTTTTGGAGCAGCGATGGTATCCCGTGCGTGCATGTTCACGCTCTATATCATTCTTTTAGGCGATGCGCTTATGATCAAATCTCAACCATGTACTCAGATGAACAATATTCAACATGTTACGATGTACATATTCAGCCTGTATTCTTCCCGCAACATTCGGTTGATATAATGAAGTCAATATTTTGCCTCCAGTTAGACCGGATGAAGAAATTTCTCGTCCAGGTCGTCGGCAACGTAATCGGTTTTTGGGTGAGATGGACAGGATTGCTAGAGAACGAGATTAAATTTATTGCACTTTATTTCCCCTTTTTTTATATTCTTGTTGCCAACTAAAAATCATTTTAGTTGTTCTCTAAATTTTTTATGGATTTTATATCTATGCTTTCAGTAACTTAAATTACCTAGAGTATTATTACTCATTTATTTTGTTTCATAATACTTCTTTCGTTTTTTTGTTAACTTAGATTAGATTATGGAAGAAATGAAAAAAATGGAGGAGGTGGGTGAATTGTTAAAACATGAAATGAAAATAAATTACTCCATCCGTCCCAAAATATTTGCAACATTTGTTTTTTCAATAGTCGTGAGAACTTTTGTTTATTTCTACGTGTTCATTGGTTATTTGATAAAATAAAATATTTTTGACACCTCTTATTTCGAAGAACTTTTCAGGTATATGTAGTTTTTTGATATATAAATTTTATTTTTTATTTCTATACCAACATGTAAATAAAATGAATTGAAAATAACTTGATATGTTACCTCGAAAATACAAGTGTGGGAAATATTTACACTATGTTTGGTTCAAGGAATTTGAAAGGGAAAAGAAAAAAAAATGAAGTGGAAAACCATTTTTCTTGTTTGGTTAGAGGAGAAAAGAAAGGAAAAGTGGAAGGAAAAGATAATGAGGAGGCAAAATGTACTAAATGGAGGGAAAATCAAATTTCTTCCATTTTGGTGAGGAAAATGAGAGAAAATCATTTTCTTTTCTTTTCCTTCCAAAATCCTTGAGCCAAACATAGTGTTAGGAACGGAGGGAGTAAAAGATAAGTACTCCCCACATGACATGATAGAAGTAAAAAGGAAGAAAAATAATCCACCCTACATGACATGATACAAGTAAAAAAGGAAAAAAAAAATCCAAATTATTGATTATTTTTTCCTCTGCCGAATTAGGTCTCACTTTTCTTGCTTATCATGGAATTATTTCCGTACGGAGTATAAGCACCCACACTGCCCAATGCCCATCCACCTAGGAGTGGGCACGGGCCGGTCCGAGCCAAGATTTGTAAAAACTGGACTCGACTTTTTTTTTTAAAGCAGTCCGGGCCGGAATGGGTTTTCAAAATTTTAAAATTGAAACCGGACCTAATCCGGCTTGTTTGAAACGGGCCGGTTCCACGGGTCAACGGGTTCGAACCTATCATGATACTAATCTTAAAAAAATAAAGGGAATAAATTAATTTAAGTCATCTAACATAAAAAAGAGGCGTAAATGAAAATAAAACAATGACAAAGAGGGGCATGAGAGTAAAATGTACACCCCATGATCATCCAACAACAATAATAAAAAAAATGACAACATATTTTGGCATTATAATGTCAATGGGTTCTAAACAGAATAAAATTAACAATTTTCATGGGTTCTAACTCTCTGACTATGAAAGATTTTCTTATTTTTCTGCCTGTGATTGGAAGGACCAAAAGATTGAAGGGCTTAGGCGGGTATATTTCTGTATATCTGTATATTTACTAAAAATAATATTAAAAATAATATTGGGATTTAAAAAATGGTCCGGTCTGAGTCCCATATAACTTCAAAATGAGGAACCGGACCGACCCTAAAATTTGTAAGGACCGGACCGACCCGGACCATTTGAAATTTTCGAAAAGAGGACCCGACCCTAACCCGGACCGAACCTAACGGTCCGGTTCCGACTCTCGGTTCCTAGACCCGATTGCCCACTACCCCTACATCCACCGAATTAATTGAAGGCGCCTTTGGCCCGCTATGTAGGACTAAAATAAATGATCACAAACAAATGCCTCCCTCTTAGTCTTATATACTGAGTACTAGCTTAGAAATGCACTTCGTGCATTTGGTGCCCAAGACATTGCACTTATTGTCAAAAGTTCCCAGTATTTTCTTACAATACAATTTAGCATTTATGTAAGGAATGAAGCTAATAATGCAATTGAGTAATGAAAGAGAATTCATGAGCAGAACCAAGTGCATGGGTGCCTCATTTTTAATAATACTGCTTCATTGTTCTACTTTCGCACATTTTGTGCTGAGTGGTGCCCAATACAGGATAAATCTCTTATGACCAAATTAAATTGTAGCTTTGAAGCGCTATTTGTGCTTGTGCCCTGTATTAATGTCAAAACGGAAGTTAACTGACAATGAGTAACAATGCAAAAGGTTTTAAGCGTAAGAAACAATTAAAATAGTTAATAAGATCAATTGATAATAAAATTATCGGGTTCTAAATATGAGAATAAAAACAACTACTCCGTATTACATTATTTTTACAAACCATAATACAATGATGTCAAACCAAGTCATTAAAAAAAGGTTCTTCAAGTTTCAATCAATCAATCTAAATTGCAAAAACACACATCAAATTTCAATCGGTTGTAATATCAATGTAAGAACAAATGAATAATGCAATAACATTTGAGAACTAATTAATGAGGGGTTTAAAATTACTATGTTATTTGGAAATAATGATTTTATATGTCTATCTGAATTGTAAAATGTTGAAGATAAGTGCAACAGAGATGAACCTTAAAAAAAGGGACACAAATGGTCCATGAGTTGCATAAAAGAAAAGAGTATTTAATTTGCTAAGATAAACACCATATGTAAATCTAAATGTGTTCGTTTTAAATAGTAACGGAAAATTAAATAAACCATTTGTGATGAATAGCTACAAAAACATCCAAATGAAGAAAATAATACTCCCTCCGTTCGGATATATTCTTCCCGTGTTGACTTGGCACGATTATTAAGAAATAGTAAAAAAAATGCAAAATTTTCAAAAGTACACATACTATAAACTTTTAAATCTCCTTTTCTTATTAAAAAAGTACTAAAAAAGTAGATTAGTGATAAAATAGAAGGGTATTATTGAAATTTATCCTTAAAAGGTATACTAAAAAAGGAAATGGGAAGAATATTTCCGGACGGACCAAAAAGGAAAATGGGAAAAATATTTTCGGACGGAGGGAGTAACAAAAAGAAACGTGAAAACAAATGAAGTGCACACGAAACGAAGTAAAGAACTTTGTGTTTTAAAAATAAAATGTGTTGTCCAATTAGTCTTGAAGATTATAATGTAAAAATATACTCCCTTCGTTCTCAAAAACATTTCCTCTTTCATTTTTTCCACTTCCAACAAAACACTTCTCTTTTCTATTAAAAAACCACTTTTATCCTTACTTTTTCATACCCTACCTAGCACATCATACTTTTTCTCTAATAATCTATCCATCACATCTTACTTTTACCCATCACATCAGGGGCAAAATTGGAAATCAATTATAATTTAACACTTCCTTATTTTTTCCTCCAAATCAAATGGGAAGTGTTTTTCCAAACGGAGACAGTACAAAGTAAATTTTCGAGTGAACCCCAAGCAAGATAATAACCTTTCAAAATTCCCTTCTGTTATTATTACAAAAATAAAATTACCTTTTGGCTTGGTTCAATTTTTTTCCATGCTTTGATGAGGTTTCCCTCAAGGCGTTATCAAAAAATATTAGATGTGAAATTTTCTGTTCGTCTGATAAGAATTGGGTTGGAAATTAAAACAATCACAAGAAATGATATTGGTTTTAAAAGAAATGTGGATGGTGAGAATAAGTTTGAATCTAATTCAATTTAAAATCCCCAAATCAAGAATAGAAAAAGAAAGAGCATAACAAATGTGATTTATTTTAAGTTTCTAAAAGCAAATCAACAAAAAAAGTACTCCATATAAAATAGATGTGAGGAACTTGAAAATATAAATTAAAAAAAATCAAATCCAAAGTAAGAGCTACGGTTTTCAGACTTCTAAATTAAATGAATATTCTAAAACACAAATTCAAAGCAAAACAAATTCAAACTATCAACGATAATCCAAAAGCTAGCATGGAAGGGAATTGAAAATTAAATCAAACCCGACTGCAAATAAAAATTGTGGTTTGAATTAAACTCAATTTAATCATCTGATCTCTGTGAAGAGTAAAATAAAAAGCAGTTTTCAATCACCAGGTTTTAAAAAATGTCTACAATTTCTATGGATTCAAAGCTACACGAAATTAAAAGTTGGGGTGAAAATTGGATCTCAAAAATATGTGAAAACCCTAAACCCAAAATAGGTATTAAAAAATTTCGCAAAAAAACATTACCAACCTCGATGAATGACGAACTAAGAATGGAGAAGCCAGTGGATCTGTGGATGAAGGGTGTGTAGAAGACCGATGAGGAAAAGAAAACTTGGGTGTTTGTTTTTTTGGCCTTTTGTCTGCACCGCGCAGACGCGCGCAGATACTGAGCTCTGCAGATTGTTTGTTTTTTGGAAGACATTTCACTCAAAAAAGTCTTCCTGGACCTATGTCTTCTAAACATCTTCTAACATCTTCTCCATTTTTTTCTTCTATTTCTCTTCACCACCACCACCGTCCACCACCATCACCACCGTCCACCACCGCCGCCGTCAACGTCCACCACCACCCTTCACCACCTCCCTCCACCACCACCACAATCGTCCATACACCACCACCGTACACTACCACCATTAATTTATATAGCAGTCTACAGACATTAAAAAACAAACAGTCTTCTTCTTGCAGACCGCAGACCTTCGGTCCACCACTTCTCCTGCAGATGTCTACAGTAGTGGTCCGCAGACTGCAGACCTTTTCCTGTAGAAAAAACAAACACCCCCTTAGAAACGTGGAAAGAACAAAGCCAAACGTCCGTTAACTCAAAGTGGAAAAACAAACGGTAAAAGGACCAGAGATAACAAAATAGGGGCTTATTATATTAGGGTGAGATATATCCTTAATGATTTATTTTTTTTTCTATTTGTTTTTTAATCGAAATGTAAAGAAATGTCGAAGTATTCATTTGGAATTTGTTTAGGGAAGCAGAGAATTCATCAATTCTTAAAAATAAAATATAACAACATTACTAAAAAAAATCATCCAGAAAATGAAAATGAGAAAATAACACTAGAATTGTATTATACTTCCATTAACACCAGCTCACATCCACAATAACAACGGTAATTAAGCACAACATTTTTTGAATACAATAAAAATACTCCCTAGGAGTAATAATTAAAAGCCACAATTATTTGGTCTTTAATTTATAGAAACGTGAACGTACCCCTAAAGCACGTGATTTATTATGTGCCTTTTATTATTATTATTGTTATCATTATTATTATCATTTTATAAGACCATTATTATTATTATTTTATTAACCAATGCGTGGCGGGAAAAGAACTTTCCCCTCGCTATAAACAAAGATTCGAACTCTGTCACACCTAAAATCAAATGTGACTGGAATACCAACTGGAAAAATCTGGACAATTGTCACATTTGGATTCTCCTTCTCGATTATTTCCTTGGCTTCCTCCCCATCTACTCCCACAAGCTCTGGCCAATAAGACTTTCCTGCAACATTGCCATTTTTAGTACGGTATCAGAGTCTTGTCACGATTCTCGATGGAAATTTGAAAAAAAAATAATAATTTGCGTAAACCTTTGCAATGGTCTGATTGTTTGAGTAGTACTTCATTCTCATTTTCTTGTTTGGCCATAGGGAGTTGTATCACATCTACTAGTCCATCACTTATTTCCCTCTCCAAATGACCAGCCCTTAGTGTTTGGGATACTGTTAATCAAAATAAAATGTTTATGTATACGGAATATTTATGATGGGCCCGTTTGGCATCAGCGTTAGAGATCAGATTAGCGTTAGCGTTTTGAAAAGGCTATCTGACGGTAGCCTTTAGCGTTGGCGTTTTCCGAATTAATCTACACCATTAATATTTTATCCAAAACGCTAACACTAATTGAAAACACTCTTCCCAAACAAGGCCGATATCAAAATAAGAATACTCTGTATGATATTTCAAAATGAAAGTTAACTACAATTTAACACTTATTTATTTTGGCATTTGGTCAAAATGGGAAGTGATTTCAAAAACACGTAGGAGGGAGTATTTATGATATTATTCAAATATATAATAATATATATTAGAATTACATCTTTTACATGTAATTGTAATATGAAAGGGAGACACTAACATGAGGCGAGAAGCAAGAAAGCAAGAAAATGAGTGAACTTGACCCATGTGGTTTTTGGCTCCATTGGCGGACTTTGATCGGAGAGAGTGATATATTTACTACTTAGTTGAGAAAAGAAGTGTTTTGATGGGTTTCATTCGTCCTAAGGCCGGGGTACTTATAGCCTCCAAACCCCAAACGAAGCTAGGGCTTGTTAATTTTCTTATGACATTGATAATCAATGTTATGGGATAATCATTAAGTTTTACAGTGTCTTGTTTTTAAAATTTATGATTCATACCCATTTTAATCGTCTGACAAATAAACCCTTTCACACCGACCCGACCCCAATCCACCCTCCCCACCATCTTTAATTGCACCCTCCAAATTTATTTGACACAATTGAAGAGGGTGTGGGTGGATTGTCTAGGGGCGGGATTTGGGGGTTTTCTGAGGGGTAAAAAGGCTAAGAACTATTAATTTTTAAAATGGAACATTGTATGTGGCTATGGGTCCGGGTCATGCTATGTCACATGAATTGAGATGCGTTTAAATTATTGTCATATGTCAAGCTTTTGGTTGTTGTCTAGAAAAAGTTTTTTTTATATTCTAACAGACCCCCTTGGTGCAGGCGTAATTTTTTTTAAGCCTTACACATGAAACCTTAAATTTTTAAAATTTAAGTGGTACTGAGTTTTGAACTCGTGACGTCTTAGCGTACAAGGCTTTGATACAAATGTCAGGAAACCAATGTTGGATTTTGGGTTCACTTTCTATGTGGAGGCTCAAGTAAAGCTCAATACTTAGCAAGCTTGAATGAAATAAGAGGTCATTGATTCTCATTAAGGTTAAATGAGAGAGCAGAGAAAAATGAGCGAGAGAATACAGGAAATCGAAAGAGAAAAAGAAGTTATTCATTTTCGAATTTTTGCACGCAAAAATCTTTGAGCTGACGTTTAGAGGGTCAAACGGTGTTTGATTGTTCAGAAATATTAGGAGCAAGTTCGGGACACGTTGAATACTATCTAAAATACATTTAGAATAAAAATACTATCTTTTCTTTCGCAATGAAAAATTTAGAATAAAATTATCTAAAATATCTAAAAATTGCTAAGTTTTTATGCTAAATTTCATTGCTAAGTTTTAGAATAAAAATTTAGCAATGAACAGATAATAATAACATTTAGAATAAAAATACTATCTAAAATACAATTTAATAAATTTTTGAAGTTTTTTAAAGTATTTTTTTAGTTTGTTTCATTTCTTTCTAGTTTTTTCTTGTTCTTTCTATTTTTTCAATTTCTTCTAATTTATTCCTTTTTCTTCCTACATTCAATTAGTTTTTTCAGCCTAAAGAAGAGGGCAAATTATATGAGGAATTTACTTAAACAGCACTAAAACATAATAACTTTCTCTAAATAGCAGGACATGTGTTTTTCTAGCTGCAAAGTGCCCTCCCATCACTAAAAAGAACCCATCAGGATTTCTTGAATATATATAGATAAACCATGAAAAAATAATAAGAAAAACAGGAATGAGGTGAATAAAACCTCTAAGTCACCGTTTTGCCACTTATTTAAAACCTCTTCTGAAGTTGAATCTTCAAAACCGTCAAGAATTGGAACGATCATCTGGTGGTATCAGCCTGTCCAAGAAGATGCTCGAAAAAAATTGGAACACTATGCAGTAAGGCAATGGAGATGAAGATATAAGTAAATACTACTTCGTATAGTCCAAGTCAAAGGTCGACGGTTCTGAAATAAGCTTCTTTTTTTCCTTGCCTTCAAAATTAATTATTCACAAAATGAGCCGGATGGCGCTTGTTATCCTGTACGTTTAGCTCAGCAAAACCATTCTGCTCCAATGGAGGCTTTCCCTGTACAACTTTCCGCGGAGGCTTGTCAAGAAGAAAACCAGGGGGGAATAGTGGCTTTGGTTTCTTGCAAGATTTGTTGAACCCATCTTGAATGCCATTACTTCGCTGCTTAGGACTGGCATTTGCAGTTACCGCATTTCCTGGTCTATCGCCATTTGATATGACAGATGAAACCATACTCTGCAATTCGCCTTGGTCAGAGGAATTAACTTGACCATTCCCGGTTGAGCTTCTCAACAAATGTGAATCAGAAATGAGTGGCTCAGCAGAGGGCTCATAATCCAACATATCTTGATCCTCGCTAGAAACTTCAACTTCAACACTTTTCCCCAAATGTACTTCCTCTATATCAGAAGTATTAGTTTTTGTGTTAGAACTTTCATCTGTTGACAATGAACCGGTTGGAAGAGAAGATTCAAGGGATTCTGATGTAGCGCGGCAGTCAACTTCTTCCACTCCGGCAACCACCTGCTCCTCTTTCTTTGGATTTTCAACATGATATAAGGATGTTGGTCGCGCAGAAATCCTGTATATAAAATGTATCCAAACAAGAAATCTTGGACATCAAAAACATTAGCTTTGAAACACCAATGCACTAATATGGATGGGGCTTTAGGACTTGGTGGGAATGTTTGTTTTAGTTTAATTACACAAAAATGATGATGACTAACATTTTTCCCTAACTCGTCAAGTCACTAAGGAGCAAAATCAGCAGGTAATGAAATAGCACTTCTCCAAGAACATGTAATTCAAGTACTGGGGAATATCATTGCAAGGAAAGCCAAGTATATTCTTTTGGCTTTGAAGTGCCTCTAAGAGGGTCAAATGTCAAATTCAATGTCATTTCCATCGCACATAATGCAACTCGTATTTTTCCCAAACACATCATTTGAACTAGAATGGTGAAGAATGCATCAAGTTTTCTGCACAATTACCTGCTATATAATAGCATGTAGGCCCCCTGTGAAAGAACCTCGTCCAGATCAACACAAGCAACCTGAATAAAAGCATTGTCCTGTGAGTACTAGTTCAAGATTAACAACTCAAAGATCTGCATAACAAAAAAATAATATTGCCAATCCACAATGCCAGGTAAAGCTTCTTTTTCTATTTTACTAAATATGGAGCTGCATTACATACAAGCACTAACTGACAAAGTGCACATGAATCAAGTACATAAATATAGATCACGATATATGATGTGACGAGCACAAAACTAAAACAAGTTTCAAAGTGTGTTCCAGAGTACAGAGTTAGTGAGTGACAGCTTCATTTACCAAACAATGATAAACAGGTGATTACTCCCTGCACTAGTGCACTACGAATAGGTTCGAAGACATTGACCACAAGATCAAAAGAACAAAAATGATAAAGATGGGGGGATCCATGCACAAAATTGTAATGGTATAAACTTATGTATCCATCCCAACCAAAACCAAACATCAGGAGTGAAAAATTAATAAAAAACAAATATTAAAAAAAAAAAAAGAATTGTGCAACATTAATAGTGTAACATGGTAAGTATAAGCATGAATGGATAAAACAAGTAACTAGCTATTTGATTTTTCATGAAATGAGCTTATCGGTTAAGTGAAAAAATGGTGTAAAACCGAACAAATGAATGGGGAAGATAATCACCTTACAATCATCAATTCTGTACCACTGCCCACAAAAATCCTTGACATAGCATATGTAATGTCCAAAAAAGGATGCATTCAGCATGTCAATGTGAACAATGACCGCATACAGCTTGTAAAAATCATCTCTCTCTCCTGTCCTACTCATGTAAGGACAAAGGTCTAAAGTCTCTGGAAAGGTCACCTTCTTATTAAGTTTTCCGAACCACCCCCTCTGCATTAGTGAAGATATGATATAGAAACTCAGATACCCCAAAAAAACATCATTTGAGTTGTCATCCAGTACAATGGCAGGAGAAGATAAGATGACATGTTCAAACAAAATTTATTACTTTAGCTGGAAAAAAACTTCCAAGTGCCCTTTCCAAATTACTTGTGTTGTTTCATGTGATATCTTCACCAACTCACCAAGCAGTCTATTACTCTTTGAAAGTGTTTTGGAAAAATCAAAAGCTAGCATAATGAAGAAAGATAAAATATGATACCAACCTGAAACCGCTTTAAGGCAATGGTAAGGATGTTTGGTGCCTGACAGATCATAAGACGCTTACATGCCGCAACATAGTCATTGCATCTGCGGGGTCAAGCATCCAAATAACGATTTTAACATGAGTACATTTTTAAAACATTACCATTTTTATAATAATTTGAATAGCACAGAATTACAAACAGATGTAACATAATTACATAGACAAAGTGGATGACCATTTGGGCACTATGGCATTATGGTATATACTACCTATGTCCCCTTTCTATCTTCCTACTTTCCTCTTTGCACCATCCCTGAACCATTTTACTTTTCCCTTTTGGGTACAAATTTTACAGTTCATATTCTTTTATTTCTTTATAAATAAATCTCAACAAATTGATTTTTTTTTAAACTCTGGGGGCTGGGAGAGTATAACTAAACTTGACAATTATTCGTCAAGCCCATCCAGATGTATTGAGGAAAAGACTCAAAATAAAGTCAAGTCAAACTATTTCCGAACATAATTTCGGTAAGGGCTCCATTTTAAAAATGCATAATATCCCCCCATACTTTATCACTCTATCCATACTATGGCTACAGTTAGATAGGTAGCTAAAATACCAGTGCCCCATGATTTCATTGGTTTGTGGCCATTGAATCTTTGAATTATTGAGGTGGATAGGGTTCAACTGTACAGGATGAAACTGAACTTGAACTAAGTCAATAAATTTAATGGCAATTCATTTAATTAATCAAATTAACATGAACGAACAAATTTCAGATCATGTTTAACAAAAAAACAATGGACACTTGAGCAACTGCATGTCTGTGTGCTATCTAGACCTATCAAACAGGTGTCAATGGTTTGGTTTTAGTTCAAGCCTTTTAGGTTTGGGTCTATTTCAAGTTAATAACATAGTTAAAAATAGACTTTGCCTTTTAAAAAAGGGCATCAAGCCGAACCCAATGGTGGACATCAAACTATACGAGTACACGCCTTATAAACCAAGGGAGGCTGAGGTGTCTAGCTCCAGAAAAAACAGCACAGAAAAAACAAGATAAAGTGTTTTAAATGATAGGGAGAGGGATGGAGAGTGAAAGGGAGAGGGAGATAAAAACATCATATTACAATGATACTTAAAATGTTCAATCCAAACATGACATTAAATGTATTCATACAATTATGCTGAATTCAACTACGAGATTGGTTAGACTTAATTTACTAATTGATGAAATTGATTCTTGAATCGTAGTACCATATAGAAAAATTAATTTAGAATAGGTCATATTTTACAAGTCTTTCAAAACTTAATATTGATAATGTTTTTAAAATGTGGTAACTTCTTGGTGGCCCTTTTGTTGGAGGAATCATGTGCATAATGTCCATTACCTACCATAGTTGTGAATGGTGAGCGCTTTTTACGCTTATGGCGCTAAAGGCTTTGTGGCGACCATATTCCGCCAGTCTTCACAGTGGCGTGGCGATTTACGTGAGGCGCGCCATTGGCGGTCGCCATGGCCGCCTGGGTGTTTGGTGAATGGCGTGCTCCATCCACGCCTTGCGTGTGGTCAACTTTAAAAAGATAACTAACCTTGACCTAATTAATGATTTTAATCGTGCGTCACTTCGGATCGTTGCATACTCACGATTGATAAACTTCTCCAGAGTCCTTCGCAGGCTCTTCATCTTCAGCGCACGTGGTTCCAGACATCATTGCACTTCAGATCACGGGCTCTCAGCAGAATTTTTTTATCGGATTTTTTTTCCTCGGGCTACGCAACTGTGCGACACACCAGGTCACGCCCCTCTTAAGCGCAAGTCCCCAATTTTATTCTTATATTTTTTAATTTATTTATTTTATTATGTTTTTTAACCCATATAATTTCTAATGATGATGATTACTATAATTTCTCAATGCAATCAACCTATATTTCTTTATTGTTTTTATTGTGTTATTCATATTCACTATGTGTAATATTATATTCTTATAAATATTTTCCGTACAATAGTTTTTCACCAATGGCAGAAACTTCCTCCAAAAGTAACCAAAAAGATTTGGCTTGGAAATATATTTGGCTAGAAGATCCTAAAAATACAAATGATACTATGTGTATTTTTTGTAATAACCGCTACACGGGAGTAATTAGTCGAGCAAAAGGACATATAGTTGGTGGGTATTCTGATGTAGAGGGATGTGACAAAGTCTCTAATACCGTGAGAGAAGAGATTCAATAGTATATGTCTGAGAAGAAGAAGACAAAAGCTTAATGACTAATAGCTTGGAAAAATTGTTTGTTTGTTGTTTTACCAACAACTCATGTTTTACTTTGATAATTATGTATGTTTAAGACTAAAGGATATATATAAATATAAATAAATAAATATATATATATATATATTTTTATTTATATAATGTTCGCCATTTGACCGCCCGCGGCTCGCCACGCTTCTCGCCATAAAAAATAACCTCTCGCCTGCCACTCGCCATTTGCCATTCACAACTATGTTACCTACACATGGACTCACGGTTCATCGTGAATATAATTAATGCATTGCACATGGAAAGCTTACCTGTCACATTTATACATATTATCTCCATGAAGTGACTCTTTAGCAGTGAACTGATCTAAACATTGCTCCAAAGAAGCAACATCACCATCAATTTCCACAGTTAGATCCATGATATTTTCAAACTGATTTGAGATGTTATTGCATTGTGAACAAATGACCTGAAGGAAAATATGAATCAAGAGATAAGCGCAAGAATTTCAATTAAGGAGATTATTTAGGAAGTCATATTAGCATACATGAAAAGTGAAAACAACCATACTAGTTGAATATATTGAGGCACTCGAGATGATACAACAACAAATTCATCGTCCATCAGAGATACACAGGATTCTATAATTTTGCCATTATGCATAGTATATGAACCAATGCCTTAATATGAAATGTTGTTGAAGAAGAATAATGATGTGACTAGCAATACTTAGAGGGAAAAGGTTCAAATACTCGAATACACCCCTAAACTCATGTCACAGGAGAAGATTAGCTCTTAAGTTTTTTGACGTGTAGATAAGCCCTTAAAAAACATTTTATCGTCAATGGAGCCCCCTCTTTTCAAGTTGCTTCTAAACGGAAAGTTCAGCCGTTTGACAATGTGGCTTAAGGATGTCATCATATCAAAGAGAAAGTAATCACCCAAAACAGTGCAATAAAGTTGCAGTCTCCAAATTAGAAGAGGAAAACACATTGGGTGTGAGAAGTCTCGGCATGTGCTTTACCAGCACCATCCTCTTTGCAGCCTTTAGTTTCAGGAAACCCAATACTTTTATTATGCTTCTTCACAATCAACAATGATGTGCTTTTTCTGGAACTCCAGTGTCGCGTCATTGCAGGAGGATACTAGAACAGCTTCGGGCCTCTACTTGGATTGCCAAATTTTGAAGCACCGTGTGGTTTCAGTATGAACAGTCGTGAGTTCGAACCTCACCAGAGACAAAATATTTTTGTGCTTGGTACTTTATCTGTGTTATAATGTGTTCCCTTCCATATTTTTTTGCAGGTGGAGCCGGGGTCTCTTGGAAACAGCCTCCCTACTTCCGAGTAGGGGCAAGGTCTGCGTACACACCCTCCCCAGACCCTACTGTTGTGGGATTCACCTGGTTGTTGTTGTTGTTGTTGTTGTCGTGTGGTTTCAGTATGAAGAAGAAATGGAATTGATTGAGGAAAAATTTCTGTGAAGATTAACACGCTTTGTTTTTATTTCTGGAAAACTAAGGATATGGGTGGTTTCTGGTGCTTTGCCTCTTAAAAAACGGGGGAAGAACGAATTGTCATCATACCGTTCAATGCTGGGGCAAAGATGGCATTTAACTCCAAAGGCAAATCCTCTCTTTTCCCAGAACCGAATGCAGTTCTAAATTGGACAAGCTACCTTAAAAACTTCAATGGGAAAGTACTTAATAATTTTTTTGGAAATTAGCATTGTACATCTTTTTCTTATTCACCCACATCATTGCCAATGAAAACGTCGCAGCGACTAGCAGAGCAAGCTGTGCGGTAGGAAAATAAGAAGCAAAATGAGCCCAAGACGGAGCCATTGTGACAAGAGACAAATGAAAGGTCCAAAAAACCAAGTTCATGTTGGCAGGAAAAGAATAGATAGACTGCGAGGAGAGTGGTTCAAATGGCTTTAAAACAGGTTTTAAAAGGCTTCTTTGAACCCAAAAAAACTTTATGTGCTAACCTGCACTCGAGGCAAAACTTAAGAGATGTATTTACACTTTTTCCCATGCTAAAATCACACTTTCAATGCAGTAACAAGAGCCTGAGACTTAGGAGTTTCAAGCTCATCCTCATCTCCCTCAGATGAACAAATAAAATCATGCATTTTTTGCTCAATCACTTAAATAGATACAAATCACAACTTCGTAAATCTCAACATCAAAATTAATTAACATCAACTTACTTTCAAGTTTCAACTATGATAGATACCTGAGATTGAAGCCGGCCACCAAATATATGCTGAATAAGAGTGGTTTCTTGTGAGCTAGGAGGAACAGCCTTTTCTCCACCAAATTCATCAAGGCACACTGATTGCATTGTATCGATAGCAAACCTAAAAATGTAAAATATCAATACCAAAATCATTGTTTTTGATTTTTCAGATGAGTTCATAACTTGTTTAGTCCAACTGCAATGTTGGTTCCTCTGGCAATCTACAAAGATTGTGCTAGCAAACAAACCTCATGAACTCATGAGCATCTTCCTGTTTTCCACAGCCAAGATTACAGCCTAAACTAGGCAGCCGTGATAGAATGTTGATTGGTGAAAAGGGTTGTCGACCTTGGCTTGCCTTCTCAACATGACGTTCAAATTCACAAAAGAAGCACCAATCATTCCGTTTACCTAAATTGTGTGTGTGAAAGGAAGTGAGAGGGAATAAGTAGAGATTCAGGACAAAACTAAGGTTACTGACATGTATAAAATCATTTGAAAACAAAAATTTGGCATTAAATAATAACAGTAAGTGTGGTTACATTCTCTGACATGGCCTTTCTTGAGTATGTAAGCAACCAGCGGCCTAGTGTAAACAAGACATTGCAAAACCACATTGGCAAAGCAGCTGCACAGACCCATGCCAACAAGGATTAAATAAAAATGACCGCAAACAATTAGGGATGTCATTTCATGTGTTCATTTAATGGGATGATAAATAGATAAGTTGAATAATACCTGTTTCCACAATTTAAAAGACCACAAGGAGGAAAGCCCAGCTTATTCCAGTTGAAAAGTTCTACAAATTCCTCATATGGGAATAGTATCTTCAAAATATAAACAACCAAACTCCAATAAGGCCTTACTTTTAAAATATGTGCATATATAAGTATATATAACTAAAAAGAAATAAGTAATATAATCTAGGCTAAAATGCACCTTTCCTGAATGGCTGAGTGTCTTAGACGTTCCACTAGCAGGTACTAGTGAAATTTCAGAAGTTCTCCTCCTCCGCATTGTAGATGATCCCATTGCTGATTTATTCATGCATGATGATCTAAAAGCTCTGCATTTTAACTTATGACCAGAGTTCCAATGCGAACTTTGGCAAGCTTCAGAGCTATAAAACATGAAGTATAACGGTAAGTTTAGTGGACAAAATATTACCAACCCAAATGCACCAAAACCCCGAAATGGGCAATCAACCATACACGTGCATACAAATGCCTTATGAATAAGAAAAAAGGCATGAAAGAAAATTATCCACAACAAAATTTATTTAGGAAGAAAAAGTCCCTGTACAAAACTATCTGTGATGCCCTAATCTATGATATCTCCAACAAGCTATATTGCTCGGATTCTTCAAGTAAGTGCCATTTCCCGTCGCTAATACATCTCCATTTGGGTACTTGAGTCTTGAGGACATCCCGAGAAATAAACTCTTAGTAAACTTTAGATAAAATGGTGTTCCCCCATTTCCACTTTCCACTCCCGCCCACAATTGAGTACCGGTCCTCGCATCCTGGCAACTTGGCCAACCAGTGCCCAGTATTTTATAATACTTTCAATGAAGACAGTATATGCCTTCCCAAAATATAAATCCTGAAAATAGTGTATTTCTTGTCGAATGTCTGTACTTCGGCGGGCTATGACAAAGAAAGAGTGTGGAAAAGAAAATCACACGATTGAAGAGATTTACCAAGATGCTAAGAGAAATGTTAAGAGCTTAAGGAGGGTGACAAAAGATCTCCCTATCACAATATGGTCGCATCAAAGATCAGCATTGAGATCATTCTTGCTTTCAACTGTAATGGATGAGTAGACGACAACAAGAAATATCTAATATGGGGCTCCATGATTTATGTTATTTGTGGGATGATATCACGTTGGTTGATGAACGCAAGGAATGATTATATGCAAAGATGGAATTTTGTAGACATGAGTTGAGATCACAAGAATTTTAAATAACCTAATGTAAATGAGTATTTGGAATGCAAATGTATTAAGATCAAAGTTGAATTCAATAATGGTGTGGAATTGGATGAGAAAGAGCTATCACTAGGCTAGTGTTTCAACTTTCAAGTACTTGGGATATTTTCTACAAAGAAATAGAGCTGTTAACAAAGATCTGATACACAGATTAGAATCAGGTTGGCTTGTAATGAAAGACTAAAGAAGCGCAACAGGGGTACAATGGGGTCGAAATGCACTCCCAAAACTGAAAGGCAAAATTGTATAATACAGCTATAAAATCAGCTTTATTATATGGAATTGAATATAAGGTAGTGATGAAACTATGTAAAAAGAAGAGGGAAGAGGAGTTGGCGGGAATGAACTCAACGCAAGCGTGATTCACATTTGTTCTAAAAGTTGTCAAAAATCCATGACCTTATGTTTTTGTGGCTGGGGAGGGGGGCTGACTAATAGGTGTGGTGCTACAAAGCCTCATGGATAAGAAGCTTGACCCAGGAAAGATTTATGATTTGTTTCATGTGCTGAGTCAATCCTTTCCATGGATGAGTTTCATTCTAAAGTTCTTGTTTACTCTATGGTTGGCTTTGCGTGGAAGACTCCTTACAAAGGTCAACATGGTTGGGGGGGGGCACTGAATAGGTGTGGTGCTACAAAGCCTCATGGATAAGAAGCTTGACTCGGGAAAGATTTATGATTTTTTCATGTGCAGAGTCAATCCTTGCCATGGATGAGTTTCATTCTAAAGTTCTTGTTTACTCTATGGTTGGCTTTGCGTGGAAGACTCCCCACAAAGGTCAACATGGTTTCTTTGATATGTCACGGGAGTGCAGTCTTTGTGGAGGGGGCAGTGAGGACATGGGGGATTTGTTTTTTGGGTGTTCCATTGCAGTGCAGGTCTGCCATCTAGGCTCAGCTCACTACTTTGAGCCGAGCAAATAGGTGACTACGAAAAGGGTACCATGCAAGTTCGGCTAGGAGGAAGGCTGCCAGGCTGGATTTTGCATGCACCGTCTATTGCATTTGAAAGTGCCAAAGCGCAGGAACGAAGCATACTTTGATCACAGGGCAGTGGAGGTTGCTGGAATGGCCTCCAAGATTAGATTTTTGGTACACCAAATTATGTATAAGCTCCACCCGAGTTCTATGCTTGATTTTTGGGCTTGTTTTTTGTGTGACTAGGGGTCGGCTTGTCGCACTGTTTGTTTTTTATGGATGTTGTTTTGGGCTTTGCCCGGTTTTGATTCGGGGACGCCTATCCTATACAGTGTATGTGCGGTTGGGTTTCTATTGTTAATATTTACATGTTACCCAAAAAAAGAAGGAAGATGAGTGTAATGGATATGCATATGACTTATGATTGATGTGTGGAATAGCTAAAGAAGGTAAAGTACACAACAAACAAGAACATTGAAGTAGGTGCAGCCATTATTGAATATAAAGGAAGAACCATCTAAGTGACATGTTAAGTATGCATGTATAACCCACAACTCAGGCCAGCCAAAGAAAAAAGCTCAGCGTGAAAAAGGCAGCCCATGTTGGCATTTTCGGTTTACTTTTCATAGTGTCATTCCTTTTCCAATTTGGTGTTTGTTTTCTTAACTCAATTCCTATTAGTATTCCTTCTTTGCTAGCTATTGTAATTTATGAAATACCCAAGGTCAAACTTACTAAGTCTTGACTCTAAAAGAAGTAAAGATGGAAATATTTAGAGAGGGAGAGAGTATTTTCTAGCAAGGTGTCATATGCAGCACTTGAATTAAATTGATTCTAATTACTCCCTCCATCCCATAAAAAACTTCCTGACTTTACTTTCAGTCAGTTTAAGAAAAGCGATGCAAAGAGAAGTGTATGGTTGGCATTTGTCTAGATGAGAGAAATTTTATGAGTCCCATGTCCATTTTGGAAACAAAAACTATGGTAAGTCTCTATGGCTATGGGACATTCAAAAATGGAAAGTAGGGAGATTCTTGTGGGGAGGAGGATGTATAATATTTTTCAAAAAAATGTTGTGATGGTGGTCATGGGTAATGTTCCAATAGAAGTGTGTGATCCATACATCTCTCCTAATATCACTTGCCTTTTTATTGCCTAATTGTCTCATATCTACACAACAACAACAACAACAACAAACCCAGTAAAGTCCCACAAAGTGTATGGTCTGGGGAGGGTGTGTGTACGCAAACCTAAGCCCACTTGAAAGCAGGAAGGCTGTTTCTAAGAGACCGCCCACTCAAGAACAACCAACGTAAACCACCAAATTAAAAAGAAAAGTAAGAATCAAGTAATAGCAGAGAGCAAACAGAAAATTAAAGGCACGTGAAGCACACAGTGACACAGAGACCAGAAGCAGACAAACAATGCTAGCAACAAGACCCAAAGGACAAAAGACACACAAAAACAAGATCACAAGAACAAAAAGCACCGCACCAAAAATTACCACTAAGGTCTGGACTACACAACTACTCTAGTCCTAGATCTCTAGCCGTTCATATCAAAAATCATAAATTCTATTTTTTTCTGCTCTCTTATTCTTCCATGCATCTCTGGTTCTCTGGTAACTCAAATATAATCGAAATATCTAATGGGAACTGTTGCATAGCAACTCTTCACTCACTAAATGGTAGAGACAAATCCACAAAACTGTTACGGCAGACAAGTTTGAAACTTTGTGTTTCCCAATCCCTTCCCAGGCCCAAATGCAACTTAACCTTACTACAACCCCGAACTACGGAAGGCCAGAAAAGAACTTAAGAAGAACCAGAACCCGCCCCCTATCTACCATATTGCAGGATATGAGCAAGAAATGTGAAACGCCCATCAATCCATCCATACTACTATGATATGAAAACTATTAGCTTAAAGGAATAAAGGGTGAGTGAAGATTGCGCACCAGTACTTGACCCTCTTACAACCAGAGCACATCTTGGAGGCAGGGCGGCTACAGACCGGGCAGCCTTCGTCCAACGCCTCCATCTTGCCGGCGGAGGCGGAATTGAAGTTGGCGTCGTCGACCACGAAGTACTTTGAGGCGGTGGTCTTGAGGAGGTGCAGCAGTCCCAGGGCTATAAAGAACGCGGTGGCTATGAATTGCAGCGCCCAAGACAGATTGAGATCCGCCGAGACCGACATGCACTACAATCTCTCTATATATACATCTATCTATATATATATATATATATATATAGATATATCTAATCGGCTGTATATATTATACTCACAAAATCAAATTCATATGTAACGGACATAGAGACTGTGGTAGAAGCTGCTGGGTTCTTGATTTAGGGTTCCGAATCCTGTCCATTAAAATTCGCATGGACTGCTCTCTGTTCTCTCTCATTCATACAAGATTTTGAAAATTAAAGCAAATTCCTTGCTTTACAACGCAATAAAGGAGCACTTTTGCAAATTTATTGTATGAAATTATAAACTCCATCTCTATTGTTTTTTTAGGGATACACCATCCCTATTGTGTGAGATAAAAATTCTAATTTTTCAAATTTATATATACTCCAGTATTTAAAAAGAGTAAATTCCATAAATTGTCTTCAATTATGTTCACTTTTCCATATTTAGTCTCTAATTATAAGATAATAGTATTCTGACCCGTGCCATGTACGGGGTCGAAAGAAATTTATGTCGATTCTGAATTATTTCAATGAAATTTATTTTTCAAAAAAAAAATATATTACTCACATAATTTTTAAAACTACAGATGAAAAATGCCAAATTAAAATAAATAATATTTGAGGACTGAATGTAGAGTTAACAATGTTTATTTTAACGGTGGGGTTGTACTGACACCGGAGAACGGTGCCACTCCGGTGCCACTGCGTACTCCGGTGCCACTGCGTTTTTGGAGCACCTATGGTGATGATCTGTTCGTAAAATTGACGGTTCCTACCCCCCTAACCCACCCCTAAACCCCCCACCCCCACCCCCACCCCGCCGTAAGCCCCCCACAAAATGTGTGGCTATTATGTGGGGGGCTTACACATAACCGGGCCGTTATTTTAATACCAAATTTTCTGAAAGATTTCAAGATATACAACATTTTTGGTATGATTGTAAGGGTTTTCATGGTCATCTACTAATATCTTCAATCTGCCGAAAGTCACCTCCGAGTATAACCATTTTCCCTCCAAATGGTTCATTCCTGTAGTTACTATTAGAGAATTCCATGATATCTCTCATTATGTGATCCAAAGCCTCAAAAGCAAATCTATTTATCATGCATACTTCATCCCATATGATCAGACTTGCTTGTTGAATCAATTCAGCTTTCGGGCTCCCTTGTGTGATGGCACACGTTGAGCACTTAGTTAGCACCAATGGGATTGAGAATCTAGAGCGTGCAGTCCTTCCACTAGGCAATAACAATGTTGTAATGCCACTAGATGCAACATTCAGAACAACCTTTCCTTTTGATTTAAGAAAAGCAGATAATGATTTCTAGAGGAAGGTCTTTTCAGTTCCATTGTAACCATACACAAAAAAGAAACCTCCTTTTTCAACTGTCACGACTTCCATTATATCGTAGTATATCTTCTTCTGGTCTTCGTTCATGGTAGATAAGTATTGTCTAAGATCAGATGACAATTTTTCTCTATCATAGTTCAACTCCTCTACCAAGAAGTTATTTTGAAATCTATTGAGTAGTTCTTATCTGGAAATGGCATACCATCAAACTCTTTTAAGGATCGTCCGTTTTAATTAAGTAACTTCTCAATTTCAATCAAACATAAATTCTTTAGATCTTCTGGCGAGATAAGAAGTTCTGCAAAAAAAAGTTAATATTAGACTAAATTATTTCGACAAAGATGTCAATTCTAGAGTTTTGTATACATACCATGCATTTCATATTAATGTTTATATAAACAATAAAAAATAAGTTTTTATAAAAATACCTTGATTACGCAATATTTTTCTTCGATCAAATAAAATTCCATCAACTAAGAGCTCCCATGATTTTTCTCAAACAACTTGAGGATGGCTCATGGTATTTGTCACTAACAATCTGACAAACAACTTTCTGAATTGATTTCTTGATCCTAGCTCAGCAGCCTCTTTTATTCCCTCAATGAATTATTTATCATCGGCTAATACTTCACATGCTTCTTGGAATGAGTTATGTATAACATTGTTAACTGTCTTCAAGCTCTGATAGCTTTTACATCCTCGTTGAACAGTTAAAAGTATTCTCAAATAGTATAACTCTCTAGTTTCTGTTGGCACATATTGCAAGCAGCCTATTGATGGTCTTTGTTGTCTCGGGAACCATTTTTGCTCCTTGTTGTTATACACAAAATATCCAGGTTATTGAGTTAAATCAAATCTAAACAAATATGAAGAATTAAAACTTGAAACAAATGGTTAGTGAGTTAAATCAAACCTAAACATTACAAAATGAAGAATCAAACGAACATGATTTCTTCAAACAAATCTTGAGAATTAAATCAAACACTTATCATCGGTTCAATATATAGACAGAAACATTGGTTGAAATAAAACTTGAAATATATAAAAACTTGGAACAGAGGCTAAACTTGTATAAATATTTAACATATGATATATATACTTACGTGTTCGTCGAGGAATACCATTTTTATTGAGTTTATTGCCTTGTAATCATTGAAGGAAGGCAACATATACAACCATATCACACGAACACAAATCCTCCAACACTCACTTGTTGGATTGATTTTTGATAAACGGTGAATGGGCTTGAAAGACATGACGATTCAGCAAAAAATTACTATTCGATTGTAGTTTTCTTTCCAAGGCATCAATTTTGAATCGGGAACACAATTGAAATGAATGTATTCCAATGTGATATATAGATTGCCAAATGCCAACACTTATTTTTCACAAATAAGAAATCTCCTAATAAGAAATAAGAAATCTCCTAAATTTCGTAGCTAAATCAGAATCGTGCATAGGACTTTCCAAGGCAAAAGTTATGGATCGGACTTCCTATTTTTGAAGGCATAATCGTGAGATTCGTTGTGAAGGCTCATCAAATTTTGATTCGAACTTACCAAATTTTGAAGGCTTCATCTCGCGATTGATTTCTCACATACGGAAATCACTAATCTTCAACCAACAATTTAGAAATCATAAGCGATTCTTCAATTTCTTCCTTTTTTGAAGACCAGCAAATGCCATAGAAGGGAAGGAGTTGTTATGAATTCGAAAGAATTTTTTTGAAGGCATCGATTATCGCGTAGAAACTCTGCGGTCAATTGGTTTCATCGGGAGATCCGCTAGTGCACTTAGTATATATATTTTTTTTAAATTTTACTCACTTATGACGTGGCGCTAACATGTAAAAATGTTGCCAAATAGACATGCCAAATGTTGAATTCCTGCTAATCGGAATCCCCTTTATTATAGTAAAGAATTTTTACAAAGTTAGTAACAGAAAATAATAATTTAAAAATAGAAAATACCAATTTTAAAATGAATCATATTTGTTATTTGACTTAGAATTTTTTTAATATATACGGAATAAAATTATCTTGCGAGGAAGATCCTTCGCAACTTGACTCCCAAATGGCGCTCCAAGGCCGATGCCATCTACGAGTCAATTGGCGTCTCCAACGTCACAATCGATGGGTTAAGAGGTAATCTCAAAACTTACGAATCTACCATACTTAATCCATCGTTGGACGAACAAAGAAAGAAGGGAATAGCCCTCAAAGCCACCAAGGAACCGGTGGAAAAGGTTTCAAGCAACGATGACAACGAGTTTGGACTTACACCATATTCTTCCAATTTAACCCAAAGCTTCGAGAGAGAAAAATGTAGGGAGCTACTGAAAATTCCTCAAAATTATGGTTAAATTTTAAAGTTTTTGTATTGGCCAAAAATATATGAGATTGCATTCGTCTACACAATTTTTTTGTGATTGGATAATCTTAACCACCACCCCCCAACCACCAAACTAGACTCAATGTAAAAGTACGAGTAGTATTGATTAGAGAGACAATAGAGAGGGAGGCCGAAATTCCCTTTTAGGGTTTATTAGTTCGGCGTGGTTTATTAGTTCGGCGTGTGATGTTTTTAGACCATATCTCTTTGGTTGTCTAATGACCTCTGTTTATAATACACCTAAGGGGAAATCCTAATTAGTTATGATAAGAGTAATTACGTCCATCAAGTAATTATCAATAATATAATCGGGCAACCATGGTTATTGATCAACAAACAAGATAGTTAATCGTGGGGGCTACATAATATTCTTACATTGTACACCCACATTATCACACTTTCAAGCACACAAGTGACAGAAATGAATTAATGTGTCTTGTATAACATATGCTTTTAGTTTCTCTAAAGATAGTAATACAAAATCTATGGCTGTGTACTAAATTAAATATATCAGATATCACCGGTAATGTAAGGAAATAGCATATAAGTTAATAGGGTGGATAAACTCAATATATTTCAGTTTTAGATGTCGAGGTAGAAGATTTTTCTGCTCAAGAGAACACAATGGGTTCATTTTTAAATAATACCATATTTGGACAAATTGAAATTAAAGGTACATTTAGATTATATGTACAACAGGCAAGTTATGTGAAATGTTAGATATATTGTAAGCATATATCATATAAGGTGAAATCTGTGCCAAGGATAAGGGTTCAAGATTATAGTGAACTAGAGGCACTAGAGACCCTGGTCAAAGAAGGGGTGTGGAGAGGCATCATTGAGATTCCCTGGCGGGCAGCGAATTTGATGAGGTTTGTTGGGATAAAGTCTGAAACATTAATCGGCATCCTGGCTGTTACAAAACTGACTGAAGGGGAAATGAAATAATGAATTGGCCACTTCAATCAATTGAGAGAAAAGTTAAAGGCCTCACTTCAATCAGTTGAGCTCTTATTGTTTTCACTATTTCACTTCCCCTTCAGTCAGTTTTGTTCACCTCAATAACAACCGGGATGCCGATCTATGTTTCAGACTTTATCCTAACAAATCTCATCAAATTCCTGCCCGTCGGGGAATCTCCATGATGCCTCTCCACACCCCTTCTTTGACCAGGGTCTCTAGTGCCTCCAATTCACTATAATCTTGAACTCTCATCCTTGGCACAGATCTCACCTCATTTCCACGACTTGCAATTAAGAGCTCAATTGATTGAAGTGAGACCTTCAACTTTTCTCTCTCTTTAAACAAATCTAGAAGCTCTACATAATCCAATGGAGAACCCTGAAACCCCAAAAAAACTACAGAAACCTAAAAATTGAAATTCACGCAATCTATAAATAAGTAAAGGAAGAGTTGCAAAAGTTAGATTGAATTGCAGAGAATGCAATTTTGCAGTCAATGTCTGCAGATTTACAGTTTTTATATGCTAAATTATGGAGTATAAAGAAGAGGGCAGAAAGGACAACAAGAAAAAGTTCACCAAAACCACTCATGTGGGAGGTCTTTTTACAAGTTCAATTCATTTTGCTGCTTTTCCAATACACAATAAAAGTACATACTGCAAAAATTTGAATATAGTTTAATTTACTGCTCCCATAACTAACATTCATGCTGCCATTAATGGGTCATTCTGCTGTTATAATTGTGCAGGATTATTATGCACTTGCCTTGCCACAGAACATGTCTATAAAAGGGGGTCATTCCGCCCCTTCCACCCACGCCTCAATTTCCCAGTTGCTCCATGGAAAATGAATTATCAAAAATGGCTCAATTTTGGTATGCTTTAAAAGAAATAGATACTTCCTGACACCTTGCTCATCTACAATCACGCCTCATCCATTCATAAGATTACAGTCTATAAGAAATAGCGGGGATGTGTATGGCATCGAGTCTGTTTTCCATGATCATGAGGTATATTATAGTATATTCTACTCATTTTTTCTAGAGTAATTTACCTAAATAGGATAAAAACATAATGACTTTCTCAATATAGGACTATGTTTTTATTTCCCAATGTAGGACCATTGGTCATTATTTATTAGTCATTATTCAACTAAATGTTCAGCATCACTTGGACATTATTCTTCTCACTAGTCATTATTAAGTCTTATTTAGGGAATAAAAAAGTTTAAGTCCTACATTGGGAAATGACTTATGTTTTAGTCCTATTCACTACAAATTTCACTTTTTTCTAATCATGGTACAGGCTCCATTAAAGAATATCCATCTGCATACTATAATATCTCTCCATTGATAACGGACCAATAGTGCACTGAGATTAGTGGCTACAGGAATAGGTATTTGCAAAAAAAGATTTGTGTACTTCAATATATATATATATATATATAGAGAGAGAGAGAGAGAGAGTCATATACACCAATGAAATGTTTAAGATAAAGTTCTTGTGTTCACATTGGTTCATAACGCATCCTGATATAACTAAACTAATAAGTTTGAGCAGCTGATCTAGCAGTGATTTGGGATCATCACTTAATTGGAGGGTAAAAACAATCAAGGCAGTTTGGGAAAGGAAAGAGCTTGCCACTAAAATAATATATTACACATTCCTTCAAAAAATAATTAGACTTTGATTGTTAAATGTAGCGCAGAATTTTTTTAATTTGATCTATACTCTTATTGGCATTGAAATGCATGGTTCATGATGCTACACTTCTTGCACTAACTGTCCTAGGAAGCTGTCCCCCCAACATGGTAAATACTACGGTGATGTTTGCTTCGCTAAGGGTGCCAATTTAATGTACTAACTTTGACTACCTTTACTTTTTATTTAGATATATATGGATTTAATTATAATCATTTTTCATAACAGGTATAGACTCAAGATAAGGGTGATCGATGAAACTGGAAATCTAGCCACGTAAGTGTTGTGAACTAGACTACTGGCTGGGAGTCGTTAAATGAGAATAGTTGCAGGTTTGAATCTCTTTTTTTTTTGAATAATTGAACTATAAATAATAATCAGTTTTAAAACATTGTTAGCTTGACATTTTTTTGGGCAGGAAAATATTGCTCACACTCAGGCGTTGGGTCTAAAAAATGTGTGAAACCTGGGGGTGAAAAAATGGACACAGCTCTTGGTTTGAAATGAGATTAGATGAGTGAATTTGATTATGAGAACCATGAAAATGGAAAAAGGCCAAGGGTGAGAGTTAAGATTGAGAGAGATTAAAGACATAGGGTCATTGGACTATTTGTGTGACTGTGTGCTTCTTTTTAAGTATTTTATTTCAAGTTTGTGTGTTTGCGTGTATCTCCTTTACTTTGAAGAACATCTATTGTGTTTTAGATGGGCATTTGTATTTCAGCTTATGTAATAAAATCTGTTCTGTTTGGTTTGCTCTCAAAAGTTTTTCTTTCTATATGTTAAATAGACAACTTGACAAATAAGTATAAGGATTAAATAAAGGAGCAGTGGATAATACAAAGGTATTTATACTACAAACAAGGGTTTAGAACTTAACTCATTTATAATATCTAGGGGATTGCAATACATTGCCACATTTTAAATCATACCAGAATTCAGTAATAAATTCCAGTTATTTGATTATTGATCGAATCTACACTTTTTGGAGCATTTTGGTTTCCGTTTTGGATCATCAGGTTCAGTTCCTATTCTGTTTTGCCAATTCTAAAATATAGACCTATTGGAGATTCTCACGAGAGATATACCTGAGAAGAAGAAGAAGAAGAAGTGATCGGCCGGATTGGACTTCTCCGGATCAGGTACAAAATCGCCGTTCGCCGGATCGGACTCCTGAGCTTCGGAATCGCCTTTCGCCGACACCGGATCTGCATCTGCTTCCGACTTCGTATATGCTTCCTCCGACGACTTTGGATCCTCAGACGACTTCAGATCAGACTCCTCAGACCACTTCGGTTCTGACTCCGTACGCCCTGATCGGAGCAGAATAGGCGAAGAAGAAGACACTCTAGGATTCATCAGGGCCGAAACAAAAAAAGCCCTAAAAAGCCCTAAAATATATCCATAACAGTATGCACAACACTAACCATAGGCTCAAGATGTTCTTCTGACTCTTCTAAATTTTCTTTCTCTTCTTCTAAATGTTCATCCTCTTCAACATGGTCTTGCTCTATTTGTAGATGCTCTTGCTCTTCCATCTCTTTTAATTCTACTTCTTCGTCTTTAGCAACAGGTTTCATAAACTTATAAAGAGCTCCGGCTTGAGACTTTCTCATTTCTTCATCTCGCTTTCTCTTTTTTTCTTTTTTGACTACCAGATAATTGTTTAGGGGCCATAGCTATTGAATTATTTCTGAATTAAAATCTAAAATCATAAATTCTACTAAGTAAAATCAAGAATAAAAAACTGAAAAAAGGAAGCAAATAAATAAATAAATAAATCATAAATTAATATCAATTAGTTAATTTTTCTTTTTTTAATTGTTTTTTTCTTTATCAGTTTTAATTTTTTTATAAATCATAAATTCATACGGAGTATCAATTTATCAGTTTTAATTTTTTTTTTCGGTTTTTCAGTTTTTTTAATATAAATATATAATTATCATAAATAACAAATTCAAATGAATTCATCCAACTCAAATAAATAACATATAGAACCATTCATTCATTCTATTTCAAAGAATGAAATTAGAAAAGATTTTGAATTAAAAACTACTCCGTAAGAATTAACCCTAGATTTTAAATCTATAAAATGAAACAATGAAAGAAAATTAAGATTTAAGAAAAAAATTACAAAATTGGAAAGGGTAGGCTATGAATAATTACGGAGACGTGCAGGTCGGCGATGCAGCGTCCGGCGGTGGAGGCGGCGACTCCGGCACTCGGCTATTTCTGGTTCTTCGAATCTTCTATCGGCAGCACTTGCTTCTTCTGTTTCTTTTTTTTCTTTTTGTCTACATTACACATGGATTGGGCTAACTTAAGGGATGGGTGGGTGGACTGGGCCTGGGCTTATAAACATAGGTATATATATACTTAACTAGCTTGGGAACGCACTATGTGCGTGGGTGCCCGATGTTACATACTCTGTAAATTATATAAGTGAAGTAATACTCTATATTGCATATATTAATTATTTTCATCCAAAAGTGTTGGTTTTTAGCAAAATCGGAAAGGGAAATAAGATGGAGGCTCATATTTTGTAATTCCTTCCTCTATCTATCTGCAAATCACATTTTGCAACTTGTATCATAAGGGAAGCATCATAAGCAACAATGTTGCCATACGAAACATTCTCCAAATTCCTTGATGCATTTACTCAACATAGAGTGCACTCTTCATGGTGAGGAAAAAAACCTAACCAATCTCTCTATTTTTTTATCTCATCCACATCATTATGCTTTAGTGCAATTTCTTTTTCAATGGTGGGAAAACACTCTCAATGGTAAGGAATTTTTTTCCCTCTCATATACACTTAAGACTCTCTCACCTCCTAAGAAAAAAATGTTTCCATACAGAGTGGACTAATAAGTTCACCATTGGGATATATCATATATAGCATAGCAGAGACAAATAGGATAACTTGATGTGTAATGCAGTGGTATATATAGCATTTTCCCTTGAATGGCTATACTTCGCCCAAAGCAAAGACAACATGAGATGCATTTTTTTCATTATCACTAATACGGTAATTTTAAAAGCTAAAACGTCAAACAACTCATGGGTAACAAATAACTCAAAATAGCATCTGATGATTAATCAATGGGCACCAAACGCCATTTCAATTACCAATTGCAAACGCTCAAAATGTATAGCAACTTTGATTCAGTTTTTAGGTAGACAACAGATGCAGATAATTACTAGCAGGTGACGCGAGTTTTGTCGAAATAATTCTCAGGTCCTCTATTTTTAAGAAAACAACGGAGGTCCTTGCATTTTGTTGTAATGACCGGGAGGGGACATTTCATCCAATATTTCATCCATAAACGTTAATAAATATATTTTTTCCTTAATATTTTATGGCAATAACTCTTTGGTTGCTCCTTTTTTTATTTCTTTGTTTTTTGTTACTCTTTTTTAGAGTGTTTTTTTAGAATTTCTTCTATAAAATCGTATAAAAATTCAAAATTGTTTGTATGATATAAAAATTAATGAAATAAAAAAAATCTCTAAAAAAGAAAAAAACGAGTAGTGGCAAAATAGGAAAAAATGGTAATGGCAAAATAGGAAAAATGCATTTATTAACTCTTATGGATGAAGTATTGGATGGAATATCCCCTCCAAGTCATTACAATAAAATGTAAGGACCTTTGTTGTCTTCTTGAAAATCGAAGGACCTAAGAGTTATTTTGACAAAACTTACGTCACCCGCATGTAATTTTCTGCAATAGATGCATCTAAAATTATAATTGGGTATAAAAAATGGATATCTCAAAACTAAATCAAAGAAGCAATGAAATTACCTTGCGATGACAAACATTCAAAGAAGAAATATACTTCGTAGATCTGCTCTCGAAGCACTCTCTGCTTCTGTTCTTGCTATGCTATCCGCCAGGAGACGACAATAAGCTGAGAAGGATTGTTCACCCGTTTAAACCCTCAGAATCTTCGAAGAAGACGAAAAAATAGAAAAGAAATACGGAGCTTTCAAAAAAGAAAAGAAGTATGGAGTACTTATTGTATGTAACAGAAAGAAAACGGCAAAAGTAGTGACCTAACAAATTAGGGCCTTATTATATAAGGGGAGACATGTACAAACTTGTTACACAAAAAAAGGGTTTTGCTCCAACATATGTTATAATATTTAGGGCTTATTCCTTGCTGCCTACTTTATGGAATCTTGGGACTAAGATTTCCATATTTTGTATATCACACTAACATTGATGATGGAAAAGGACAAAAATAGCCAAGGTGGATAGTCTTATTTCTTCTAGGTGGATAGTCTTATTTCTTCTTTTTTTGCTCGTTATCATGCATTAATCAAAGATATATAGCAAACATAGTTATAGAATTGGAAATGTAAATTTTAAGAAACTAACTTGAGGTAAATGAAGCCCAAACCATCCCTTATGACCGAAGATTCGTTACAAAGGACCATTTATAGTGCAAAGTGTCCATAATGACCTGTAAAGAGCTAAAATTCTTTCCAAGAGTATCCCTAATTTTTTCAATTTCTTAATAAAAGAAGACTCGGTTAGTGTTTCTCAAAAAAAAAAAGATTAGGTTTTTGTTAAGAATTATCTGAAAAGTAGAAATATGAAAACTAAGGATATGGAAATACTATCAAAGTAAGGTCATTATTACTTTAAAGACATATTTTAGTACTTCTTAATCTATGTAATATGTATTACAAAATCCTCAGTGTATGAAGAGGAGACCTCAAGAAGAAACATCTAAATTTAGAATTTATGGTCCGTTTGGAAAGGAGAAAAATGACTTCTTGAAGTCATTTTCCCCATTTTCTCGTGTTTGGTAAATTTGGAAATTGGGAGTCAATGGAAAAGGACGTCAAACGGAAAATGAGGGCTAAAATACGGAATTTGTCTTCACCTTTTCTATTCTGGAAGTCATTTTCCAAGTCTAAGATTCTTGCCTTCCTCTTCCATTATTCCTCTTTTTTCTCTGCTTCTCTCTTTTTCTTCTCCATTTTTTTCTTTTTCCCTGTCTTTATACTTCTCCAGTTCTTCTCCCCCCGACCCCTTCTTCAATTCTCTGTATATTATTCTCCTCTTCCTCTTCTCTTTCTTTTCTATGCTTCTTCTTCTCCCCCTCCATTTTTTGCCTTCTTCCCTCCTTTCTTCTCTCCTCACCGCATCTTCTTCCTCGTCCCTACTACCTCAGAAAGATCTCCTTGGTAATATTTTAGATGAATTTTAGATCTAAGTTTGAGTCCCAACCCACCCAATTCTTGAATTTTAGCTTTTTTTAATAGAGATGTTGAATAAGTGTTTTTTCACAAGAAACTAAAGAAAGAACAAATGAAAGCATATGCTTTTTCTAATAACAAACCAGAAATCAAATTTTTAAAAAATTATTAAAAAATTAACAACTGTAAAATAAATCAAATCTAAAATGCATGCACATCTTAAAGTGATAAAAACAAAAAAAAAATAAAGGAAGATCAAAAGGCTATGAATGTACTAGTTCGCTAATCTCGTTCGTTATATTGGAATCAATTTCTATTGATCAAATAGACTTATCTACCAATATCTAAGAGTGCTTGAAAAAAAAACAAAACATAGGCATCCGATGTGAAAACAATCAACTCACAATAGCTCCTAATTCATGAATTGGCAAAATTGAAACAAAAGCAACATTAAATTAAAATAAAAAATAAACAACAATATCATTCCTCAGATGGAGGAAGCCCAAGCAAACCCCCAGGCCTCAAGAAATGTTCCTAAGGAGATGCCTTAAGTGCATTAGATTCAAATTGTCTACTAAATTAAATAAGTAGGAAAAAAATCCAAAAAGAAACATATAAGTTCAGAACTAAAAATCAAATGTATGCTATAAAACACAACACGCAAAGTTTGCATATGACTTAATCTGAAACTTCTAAATAAAAGACCTATATTCTCCAAAATAAAAAAGAGCAATTTTAGAATGAAAATCAAACGAATGCCATAAGACACAACTAAAAAAGGCAAAAAAGAATTTTTATGTACCAGAAGTTTCTTCTTCCTCCACCAAACTTGAAATAAGGGTTATGAACTGAAGAAAGACAAAGAGAGGAAAGAAAGATCAATCCTGCATTAACATCCTGCCAGTTTTCAAGAAGACATGAACAACTGAGAATAAGGAGACTAACACTATGTTTGGTTCAAGGAATTTTGAAGGAAAAGAAAAGAAAATGATTTTCTCTCATTTTCCTCACCAAAATGGGAGGAATTTAGTTTTCCCTCCACTTGGTACATTTTGCCTTCTCATTCTCTTTTCCTTCCACTTTTCCTTTCTAACCAAACAAGAAAACTTGTTTTCCACTTCATTTTCTTTTCTTTTCTCTTTCGAATTCCTTGAACCAAACATAGTGTAAAAGAAATAGGATATGTGAGAAAATGGCTAGAATGGAATAAGAAAATGAAGAGAAGGAGGTTAGTGGAGTGGGCGGAAAACAGGGCTATGAAAACTAAAATCAAAACACCAAATACCAACCTACAAGACAAAACAAAAACATGAGATAGGATACATATTACTGATCAGTACACATAAAGGAACAAGTTTTTATTTAAAAAAAAAATAGGAAAAGAACGAATTTCTCAAAAGTACAACAAAAAAAGAGTAATTGAAATACAAAGAATAAAATAGTTCTAAATTTAGATATTTTTTACGAAACCTAAATTCAGATTCTGAAATCAAGTAAATGTTTTAAAAATTGACTCAATTTTGAAATTGATAGAATTGTAAAAGTCTCTAATTGAAAGTGACTGAACTTTCAGCCGAAGAACCTAATTCAAAAATATGTGAAATTCATTCATCAAAGATAAAGAATAAAAGAAGATGATAATTGATGAATTGAATGATATGAAGAGGTATGGAAAGGTACCAAGAAATAGAAAATACCTGCGAACCCAAGAAGATGTATGTGAACAACAGGGTTGAGGGATGAAGAAGATGTTTCGATCGTGGGGCGGTGAGCGGCAAAGAAGCGTGGGGCGGCGAAGGAACAGTGGGCAAGAAGCAATCGACGAGAAGAGGGAGAACAATAGAGGCATCAAGAGGGAGACCAGTAGTGGCGTTAAAATTAGACGGAAAAAAGCCTAGATTAACCATGTTAGGCACTGACTTGTATATATTACATTGTACTAGCATGGGACACACTTCGTGTGTGTGTGCCCAGATATATATATGTATTGAGTAAGTAGAAGTATATTAGTATTATACAAAAGGAGTGATGGTTACATTAGATGTTATACATTACAAATTACAAACTGTTTTAAAGGAAGTGACAAAATTTGGAACTTATTTCCTTCTTTGCAGGTGGGTATTAGTAGAAGCAGTGAACTAAGTATTTAACAAGAGGGTAGGTAGGTACAGACCACAAAATGCATGGGAGAAGTACTGAACGAAGCTTTCCAACCTTAGTAGGATTTAAGGGGAAAAGACTTCTACACTTATGGGAATTTCTCAACACTGTTTTTTGGGGCTGGGTTCTTCCACTTTCAGCTTTCTCTTTAAGTATGGAGTTGCTGTTTTTTCATGATGGAGGTTGTACAGGCACAGCAGCGAGAATGTCTTTGATGGAGATGTTCGGTCGGTGCGAGGTGGTAGTTTCACCGCAGCCGTTACCTTCTGAGAATCAAGACTGCTGTTCAAATCGGTGCATTTTAACAACTCCATTGGTATATTCAATTCAAGTGCTCGTACTATCTTTTCGAGTGTGTCGGTGAAGAGGGTGACTTGTAGAGCACTAATGCCTTCTGTTATTTCGAACAATATTCTGAATCTGTCACGATTGTTAAAAATGTGTAAACAAATGTATTCATAATGTGAGACCACAGATTGCAAAATAGATCCAGTGTCTATAGTGGTAAAGTGGAAGTGGTTACCTCTTTGTGGTTTTTGCTGCAGGGTCACCACTCAGCATGCATTTAAAACTGATTCCTTCTTAGAAGTCCACTTTTCTGTTGCAACTGCTGCAGCCTATATAGAATGTAATGTCTTCAATTTCTATGACCTGCAACTGCCCTTCAACCCAGTGGATGTCCTCCTGTGTGATCATGTAGTGTATTTGTATATGTACAAATGAAAGAGTTAAATGCTGTATTTCATATCGATGTAAATTGCATGTCAATATAAAAGAAACTTATATAAGACGTAGTCGGTTGTAGCACCGACCTCATTTTCTATACATGCAACTTCAGAGATTGGTGTAGTTTGAATATCTTCAGGCTTTGCAAACATAGATAAGGGGTCCATCCATTTTTTGGTTTCAATGGCGTGCTCTATGGCAGCTGTATTTGAAGACTTCCTGCAAGAGACTTAATTAATAAATACAGTATTTGTTCAAAAGGAATTAATGAATGATTGAAAGAAGAAAGGATGCTTTATCATTCATCTAAACTTGATGTAGGTGATATGCCTGGGTTTAGCTCATTTGACGAATCGTATCGTGTTGTTAATGATAGCCCTGGTATTATGATTGTGTTTAAGTTCAGGTGTAAACGTGTATAGTCTGTGAGTATGGGGTATATTGTGTTATGTTATTAATGCTATGCATTTACCTTTGAAAGATGTTGATGCTACCCTCCTTGCAAATATTGTGGGATAAATGCCTGATTGCAGTGCGTTCTCAATTTCGGACCCTTGGACTGATGCGAAAGTGTCCCACATTGTCAAAGTGATAGGTTTGCATCTACACGATTGAATATTGAAGTTAGAAAACATTAATATAATGGGAATCATCAAGAGAACAAGAAAACAGCACACACATCCAGTAGGTATAATCATGTACACATTCTACCATTTGAGCTTGTAGTAATACCTATGGTTGGATCAATGGATTCATACGGGCTAAACCATATGCCATTTTTTTAGGCAAATAGGTCTATCAAAGCTTAGACTTTAGAGCGAGGATTGGGTGAACAGCCCTTCAGCCCTTGGAATATACTACATCCTAGAGTGGCACTCCAAACCTCTCGTTGATCACTCTCACCATACCCAAAGGTGTCTTAGGGGAGAAATCAAGTTTAGAATTGACCTTTTGGTCAGATTCTCCACAAAAGCCTGCTAAAATTTCTAGAATGAGTAGTGCCTCACTCCATGAAGCCTAATTTTCGCCAAATAAAATCATGTCATCTGCCAAAAACAGTTGCGACATTTTCGGGCTTCTTCTAAACACGGTAACCTTTTCGGTGTTATTACTCTCAAAATCTGAAGTGCGAAAAATCTGAAGTTGGTGTTGATTTATGGCAATGCCATGAATCAATACTTCTAAAGCATGGTCTAATTAGGAAAGAAATGGCAATGCCACAACAACAGAAATCAGTTTGGATCGATTACCAATTCCTTGGGGCAAAACATCTCTCTCCACCCATGTGATTAATTAAACCAGTAAGCTGGTCCATTTAAAGCCTGTCCTACATTACAAGTCTTCTCAAGTCATAAAAATATTCTTTTAGAAAAGTTCAGGCACCTCCACCTCTGTTGGTTTACCTCAAGGCTTAGGGTCTGTTTGGAAGTTGTGTGGGTACCCCCACCTATGTTTGTTTACCCCAATCTTTAGGGTCTGTTGGTTTCCTTAACTTATTTTTACATATATTTTGGTCTCAAAATTATATTCTCAAATTGTATGATTCATCCTTGAATCTATACAGGAGTATTTGTTTAAATTTTTGGTTTTAAATCTGAAGTTGGTGTTGATCATGTTAAAGAAGATTTTCCAGTTATGGTCCATGGCCTTCATTTTTCAGTTTTGGTACACCACAATTGATTCCTTGCGACTCTCGGTCCTCTTGGTCTCTTATCTGTCCATTTTCTGTTTGGTTATTTCTAGACAAGTGGCTGGAAATAACACATAATGATAAGAAAATGTTACACCAGAAAACTGCACACATTTCAGATATATGCCTAAATCGACCACAGTACATCGATGCGTTTAGAAACTTAGGATGTTAAAGGTCTTTCCCAGCCCCTAGGTTAAAGGCCTATACTTTAGAGTAAAATTCAGTTGATATATCTGGAGAGATATCAGTTCATCTTTAAGTTAAGGCAAAGAATCTTTTAAAACTGACCTAATGAATATGAAAAATAGGATGAAATTACAAAATCTAGTCAAACGGATGGCGATAGTAGTGATCACTTTCCATCCCCTCCCTTTTAAACATCCCCATTCCCATTGCATACTCCAATTTTATGTCAATTTCAATCTGATAACTATAAGCCTTCTGCAATGATTGTCTCTTTGTTCTGTTACCTGTGTGCATCCTATGTTATGGTACTATATTAACCAAGGTGCAAGCATTGTATAAACTACATCCAGTGAACTCCCAATTGCAAGATACTATAATAAAGTTGTGTCATGTAGGCCAAGGCATTACACCCTAACAGATTTTTAGTAAAAAGTAAAATTGCATAGTACACAGATCCTGTAGGTATAATCATGTAGGCAGACACACACACCGTCTACTATTTGAGCTTGATAGTAATAGGTGTGGTTAGATCAATGGAACCATTCGATATTGAAGAACATGTAAATCAGATATAAAATGATAAAGATGATATTGATATGAACTACGAACACAGAATAGGGCTAAGCCACTTAGAATTAGAGATGGGGTAAATGGCATAAGTTTGAATCCATTTTTTAAGTTATTTTTGGAGACTCAAGCATGGGAGGGTTTATTATCCTTAGAGGGTGAACTTTTGGTTCAGAGTAAGGTTCTAAGATGATTCTGTGACTACATACGGCTGGACTTATGCCTTTTAGGTTAGCTGAGGCTCATCCAATTGCTCCACAGAACTGCTTCAACAACCCTAACAGTCTACCTTCTTGTTCATTACTCAGTTTGCTTGAAATGATCACAGGTAGAGTCTCATTGAATCTTTGAGGAGTTAGAAGTAAACGTAGGACTAATCAAAGGGTTGAAGTCTTGGAAATTAAAGTACGACAAGTTTGGCAAAAAGTAGTAAACTTAGAATACCTTTGAAGAAGTGTAAAATATTAAAATGGAGAGTACATACATCAATGTTTATGTTGCTAAGAGTAGTAAACATTCTATAATAAAACAGATATTAATATATGTTAAACGCATGTAAAACAAACGAACAAAGTCCAAGCATAAGTTTAACAGATCAACACCGGGAAAGTAAGGACTTGGATTAGTTTTTAAATCAGTTTATACTTCAGCATAGATAAATGGTTTGAGGCATAGCTTAAAAGTGTGTAAACATACCAAGGAAGTTAAAGCGTAACTTGAAGAGGTCAAGAAAGAACTAGGACAGTATATAAGTGACCTATATTAAATATTAAGAGGTAAAATAAGTTAATTGTTGTAAAGATAAAATTGAAAACAGTCCTTTGTAAAGATAACTTGAAATAAAATATTTTCCAGGAATAACTCAAAACGGTCCTTTTTTTTATAATGAGTGCTAACAGTTTTGTATACTTTGTCTAGCACATAGAATGTAAATGATTTTCCCAGTCAGGGTAATTTATGAACCAATCTGTCCTCCCTGAAACTTTAAATACACGGAGGAATGAAAGAATGAAGAAGTGGATTTTTATAACATGATGCAAGTGGATGAATATAGGAAGTATTAATGCACACATGCATATGAAAGAACAATAACAAGAGTAAAACCCCAAGTATGAAAGCATAAGAAAAAGAAAGTCTACACAACCAACATTGAGTCTATACAGACTCATGGTTTGGACATTGTGGTTATTCTTCAACTCCTCATTTCCATACTCTTACTCACAGTTGGGGAAGTAGAGACCATTACTATCTATGCTGACCAAACTTAGGATTACCTATGAAGCATGCAATTTGCGGGCTTATTAGTGTAGAAGGGGTCAACTATGGGATTAGATTCTGTTTCAGAGTTTTATGTGGCTTAAAATTGCAAATATATACAGAATATTATTCATAGGTGAGTACTTCACATTATGTTGTGCTTTAGAGCTTTATATGGTTTAAAATTGCAAATGTATATGTAATACTCCTACTATTTATGTGTTAGTACTTCACATTATGTGCTGTTTCAGAGTTTTATATGGCTTAAAATTCTTCCATTATCTTCTTGCCACAATGAATTTACCCTGTTTGTCAACACATATTGAAACATCATTTGTTATTTGCATCATTGCATGTTCAAATTAACATGCAAACAAGAACTAATATTTTTACCTTTCGAATTTGAATTTAGAAAAACAAGTGAAATTCATGTAGCAAGTCACTTCGATGGGCTTAAGGGCAACACCACAAAATAAACAAAAACCACATGGCGACTTATTTCCTTTTTCAAAATAAAATACATAATCTAATGAAAATTTGAAAAAAAGGAATAAGAGGCACTAAAAAAGAACTCAAAATAAAATGCAAGCTTCCAAATACAAGCTATTTTAAACTATGTATCCATTTTAAAAGTTATTTTTGGAAAATCTGAAACATGGGTACACATAGAGTCATGCAGTATATAACAATCTTAAGGAATAGAAATTTTAAATTATCCAAGCTAAGCACCCAAAATTCAAACGGAGTCATTTTTTGGAAGTGGCTGAAGTTCCAAGGAACTCCAAGAATTTGACAAACCGAAAAAAACTTCAATTTTTATGTAAATTCTTGAAGTTTGAAGGGATATCCAAACTTAAACCTCAATTTTTTTTGAAGTGGCTGAAGTTTCAAGGGATTTCCAACCTTTGCAAACCGAAATTGCTGTGAATTTGAAGTAGGAAGAATTGAAATTAAAGAAAAGTAAGCAAAGGCAGGAAGAGATAGCGGAGGATACATCTCGGCGGTGGCTTTGGGCCGACGTATCCCTAACGAGAATAGTGCAGCGAAATCTAGAAAAGAAAAGGATGGTTTACCTAGCGGGTCGCGAAGCAATCTGACAAATACCCGTTTACAGGAAGATTATAGAAGAGGCGAATACAATCCCACAGGGAAGATATATGAGAGTAATCGTCGGTAGTGGGGCGGTGAACGGGGAAGAAGGCATTGTCGTGGGGCGGTGGGCGGCTTAGTGACCAATAGGCCCGTGCTAATTGATACTCCCTCAGCCCCCAGTTCTCATTTTGATTTTGGTGGTTTTTAAGGGGAGTTGTAAAAGGGAAAGTTTATCATACTACCCTTAATGAAAAATGGGTGAATTGTATTAAATGAGGTGGGTGAGGTGTAATAAATAAAGTAAGTGGTGGTAGTTGTAGTATTTTACTTGTTAAAAAATGAAATGAGAAGATCTATTGTGGACAAAGAAAAAGAGCTATTGAGAAGATCTATGAGGGACAGAGGGAGTATATACGGAAACCGGCACTGAGATATATACGGAAACCGGCACTGGAGCGTGAAATTAGACGGAAAAGAAAACGGAAAAAAGACTGCCTACCAGAGATAGGCGCTTATAGAAATAGGGAGATTTGAAGGGAAGTGACAAAATGGGAAGTTATTTCCTACTTTTGCTTTGTGAATTGTGATTTGCATATTTGGGAGTAGCAAACTAAGTTCTTATCAAGAGGGGTAGTTGAGTATGAAGTGGCTAATGCATGAGCTTTTCTACCTTATTGGGATAGTCATATTTTATAAGAGGGATAGGGAACAACATTTAGGTCAAAAAGACTTGTAGCTTGTTGGGACCTTCACCAATGCTGTTTTTTGGGGCTCTCCTCTTCGACTTTGACCTTTCTCTTTATGTTTGGATTGGTTGTTTGGTTCTGAGAGAAGTTGTAGAGGCATAGTAGTGATTAAATCTTTGCTGCACACGTTTGTTAAGTGGTTGGTGTTAGTTTGAGTGTAGCTGTGACTTTGATTGATTCAAGAGCCTTGTTATAATCGACACATTGGATCAACTCCAGTGGTGTATTCAATTCCAGTGCCCGTACTATCTTTTGGAGTTCGTTGGTGAAGAGGGTTAGAATTACCACAAGTACGATTCTCTTAGTAATCCAAAAAGAGAAATTGTTTCTTTTTATATCTAAGTTTGTGATTTAGCTAATTTATGAATTTCTAGCTCTTTTTCTTTATTTTCTTACCTACTTGCTACCGTAACAAAACACGAAGGAGAGTACATAACTTGGTAATTAAGGGGACCAAATGGGAGGCAAACCTTAAGCCTCTCTAGGGTCATGACATCCAATAAGAGCTTTTACAGATGTCATATTAGGTTGTTTGGTGTTTCTAGGGATGAGTGTTTTGGTAATGGTGTGGGTAGTGTGTTGGTTGAGGGCTTGAGGCCCTTCTAGAGTTCTAGAACAGCGTCTCTACCGATAGGGGTAGAGATAAGGATTATATTCATCCCCTCTATGTATAGAGAAATCTTCTCTTAGTTTCACTTGTGGTCATTCCTAAGGTCTAACCCAATTATTGCATAATTCAAATTGATTTAATTTTAGTTCCCAAATGAAGGGTTATTATCTTGACAGATAAAAGAAGAGTTAGGCAACTGAACATAGAATAAACAAAGGGTTATCATCTTGACAGGTAAAAGGAGGGCACCAAATAAATACAAATTCGTCTAGAGATATAGACACATAAAAAAAGGAGAAATGAGTTAAAGCATAGTAACCAGAAGTTGCAATTAGGCCACACTGAATCTTTAAAACTAAGCAGAAGTATTTCGTAATGTCAAGCACATATTGTGTAGAGAATTGGGTCGTGAAAAAAATTTATTCTGAGATGTAAGAATACTTCTCTTGTTCAGCTTATTCTCTAGTGTTGTGATATATATACTCTTGGTCTATGATTATCACTTCTCTTAGTTTCACTTGTGGTCATCCCTAAGGTCTGAAGAAATTAATAAGAGAGAAACTAGTTTGTATATTGAATTGTTCTGCCTAATTACAATGGGTTTCTCATTTATTTATAGGAGAGGATAATTCCAAAATAGACAAGGAATACAAATCCTACAAGGAAACGAATAAATAATCAAACTAGGAAACAAATAAATCAAGATCAATCCCAATTAGAATGGGATTCGGTCATCTCAGGATTCGGACTTCTCGAGATTCAGATTTCTCGGAATTCGGAGCTCTCGGAATTCAGATTTCTCGGAAGTCGGACTTCTCCGGATCCGAACCTCTCCGGCCAATACCCCCTCAAGCTGGAGCGTACGGATTTTGCGTGCCAAGCTTGGACAGCAAATGTGAGAATGGAGCGGAAGCCAAAGCCTTTGTAAACAGGTCAGCCGGTTGATCGGTGGTGGAGACATGCCGGGTACATAGAACACGTTTCTGAATCTCATCACGCACAAAGTGACAGTCAATCTAAATGTGTTTGGTACGTTCATGAAAAACGGGGTTAGCTGCACTATGAAGAGCAGCCTTATTGTTGCAGAACAACCGCATGGGGTTTTTGTGATTCACGCCCAAGGACAATAGAAGGGATTTCAGCCATTTTAGTTCACAAATAGTGGTTGCCATGGCCCGGTATTCAGCCTCAGCAGAGGAACGAAAACATTTTGTTTCTTTGTACGCCAGGACACTAGGGAATGGCCGAGAGTAATAAAATAACCAAACGGCGAGTCAAAGGACAACCAACCCAATCAGAGTCACAGAAAGCCGTAAGAGTGAGATCACTTTGTGCCGGAAGGAATAAGCCTTGCCCGGGACTACCCTTGATATAGCGCAGAACATGTGTCGCGCCATCCCAATGCTCCTGTCGCAGGTTCCCCATAAATTGAGATAACACATGAACAACATATGCCAAATCAAATCAGGACGACTAATCGTGAGATAAATAAGACGCCCTACAAGCCAGCAAGTGGCGTGTCACTCTTATTCCCGTGGCAAGTGCGAGGCAAGAAGGGGCAAAGAAAGCACTCTTCAAATCCTTTTATTTGCTTCCATCGTAAAAAAAGCACTCTTCCACTACTTTAATTTGCTTTCTCTATTTTTAATTTGTACTCTAGTTTTAATTTGTATTCTATTTTAAATTTCTATATATTCAAATACGGAGTTGAAAATCAGCAGCAAAAGTCCTTCACTTTGCATTTTGCAAAAATTATTTGTACTCTATTTTTAATTTCAAATAGAAAACTAAACTAATTTTTAATAATTAAATTATACCGAGTATAATTTAGATTTTTAAAACAAAATCGGTAAAAATATTTATAATTTAAAAAACTAAAAGTTAAATGTATCGAGTAGAACATAAAGTAAAACCGGGTGATTAAAATATATAAAAAATGTAAATAGAGGAAAAAATAATGACATGCCATTGCAGGATGTACCACTCTAATGTCATGCCACTGTGTGACTAGACTGACTTTGATTGGCTCAACAATGCCATGCCATGTCAGCGTGTGGCATTCGAGTGTATGCCCATTGTTCAGGAAGCGTATTGGAGAAGCCAACCTGGTCGCTACTTTTCTTGCTTTTTTCGCCGGCTTCTATTCTTCTAGATCCGAAAAAACATTAGGATCTCTCTTTTCTCGGCAAAGCATCTAGGGTTTACACAGGGCTTCAAATGGAACATGGGGCATATGTGGGAAATTGCATCTACCGTTGCCATGAGCTTAGCCTATGGAGGAATCCAGCGCAGCACAGCGGATGAGAGGAATCAGATTCAAAAAAGAGGTAACACATCTTCCTTTTCTATTTTATTTTTTTTTAAATATTTATTGAATTTTTAGAAATTGGAGATGGACAACGGTTCGTTTTCAAAGAGACCTTTGATTAAGGGTTCTCTGAGTTTTCCGATCGAGGCAGAAATTTTCTCCGGAAAGTTGAGTCGCTTCGCCGCCATTGTTCCCCACCTCCGATTTGATTTTATTTTGATGTGTTTTTATTTGATTGTTCATATATTTTGGCATCTAGAATGATGAACCCGAATCTGGGAAAATCCTATGATGGTAAACCTTTGAGACCTGAACCAATATCATTGATGATAACCTTAACCATAATTTCTGAGGTTTTTTCCATTGTTAAGAAATAATTTCATTCGATTTACTTTTTCTGTGGAGGATTTTCCTATTAATTGCAGAAGACGAATGGAAGTGATGATCGCACTGGGCTCTGAGAGAGGCCTTTGGAAGGCTGTTTGATGCATAATGCAAGCCTAGAAAGCTTTGTCTGATCAATTCTTTCCTCAATTTTTAAATTGCAATTTATTCTTGAATTAGCATATTCCTTCTATTTTAATCATTCTTTATTTTTAAATTAATTTACAATTAGCGTTTTTAAATAAAAGAAATCAATTTTGGAGTTGAAAAATGCATTTTATTTAAAATTTTTGTGAACTTTAAGGAATTTAAACTCATTTTATTTATAATCTCAGAAATAAATGCTATGTATATTTCGTAAATGAAAACAGTTTTTGAGACTTCTACTCTCACATCAATTTTTATTACAGGGTTTCAATTCTCTGGTCATTCCTTCCGCAATAACAATCGGGTGCATATGGCCAATTGAATTCGGCGTCGGGCAATGGAGACCCCAGAATTCAATTGGCGAAGAAGTCTTCCTTCCTCAAGGTATTTTTTTATTTAATTTTTTTTAGTTTTTGGATGTTTTGAATAGGGGTAGATTTAGAAAAGATATGGATCATACTAATTGCTTCATACATCGCAAGATATGTTGTTATAATAATCACGTGATGTATGGGAAGGGAAAAGTTCCTTCTCCTGCTTTCTCTTTCCACGTCCATCGGTAAGTTCAAACGGCCCACTCTTCTTCTTCTATTTCTCCATCACACGCTTTCCAATGAAAATAATAAAATTTAATTCCCCTCTCCAAATTTTAAAGTCACACACAGGATGCAAAGAATACACCTTATAGAAATTTCACTTTTTATTACATTTTGATTTTTGGACTAATTCATTTTCTAGGGTCTTTTTTCAATGAAGGCCGTGGAGACGGGAGATAACCTTAATAATCCTGCAGTTTCAATTGTAAAGGGTAAAACTCTTTCTACTGTCCCTTTTTAAATGATCATGCTTGATAAAAAAATGGAATCTTATTCTCTTCACTGCCATTTACAATGGATTTAGTTTCCCAAACTGTCTATGTTCGTATGTGCATACATATTATTGGTGGCTAAGGTTACCTATTAGAAATATGCATTGGTTTTTTAGCTCAGCACTGTAGAATGGAATACCTAAAGGTGTCAAATTTCTTCCTATGAATTCTTGCACAAGTTGTCATTGCACAAGGGTTTATAAGTTGTTTGAGAACTTACAAAATCTTAATAATTAAATTTTGGTCTTTTTTTGTAGTAATTTGAACGGGTTGATAAGTTGTTTTAGAATTTGCACTGTATAATCATGGTTTCCCTATAAATTTCTATTTCTAAATTTGGAGAGATTTAAGAAATAATTTTGTTTGTTGCTTCTTCCGAGAAGGTATGTTTATACAATGTACGAAATTCTAGCATGATATGAGAGAAGAAAAATTGATTACTCTATTTTTAAATTGATGTGATACAAAAACTGCTAAACTCAATGTACTTTTCTTTAAAGTTTTCTTGTACTTGGACCTTTGCTTTAGAAAATAGCATTTGCATATTAGGCTTTGATCTGCAGTAATTTATGGTGGACCTTTTTGACTTGATGATGTTTTTTCATAGATTTCCGTATGAATCTTAAGGCGTAAATGGTTCAATTGCAAGGGGTAACATTCTTTTTTTCTATCATTTTAAATTTTTTTATAGCTTAGGTTCGGATATGAGTGAAATGAGTGTTACGCTTCGGTTTTTAATTCTTTGGTACCCGTGGAATAATAAAGGATAAAAGAGAGATTTATTGAGTCACGAGCCAAAATACAATGCATTTAATGCACTAAAGAGGCATGCTTATTGGGAGACGAAATTTGACGGCTTGGCCACTCTTTTCACGTATTCTAATGTAAAGACAGCATTACTTTCTCACTACTCTTTTCACGTATTCCAGTGTAAAGACATCTTACTTTATGGGAAAGTGTAAAAGTTTTTGAGAAAGAGTAAAAATTTATGGAAAAAAGTAACTTAAATAAATACTTTATGGGAAAGTGTAAAAGTTTATAGAAAAGTGTAACTTAAATAAGTACTTTATGAGAAAATGTAAAAGTATATGGGAAAAAGTTAAAGTTTATAGAAAAGTGTAACATTAATAAATACTTTATGGAAATGTATAAAAGTTTATGGGAAAGATTAAAAGTTTTATGGGAAAGTGTAATAATTTAAATAAATACTTATGGGAAAATTTAACAGTTTATGAGAAATAGTAAATGCACTTAATGCACTTAAGAGACACGCCTATTGGGAGATGAAATTTGACGGCTTGGCCATTCTTTTCGCGTATTCCAATGTAAAAACATCATTACTTTTTGGAAAAGTATAAATTTTTTTGAGAAAGAGTTAAAGTTTATGAAAAAGTGTAACTTAAATAAATACTCTATAGAAAAATGTAAAGGTTTATGGGAAAAATTTAAAGTTTATGGAAAAATGAAACTTAAATAAATATTTTATGAGAAAGTGTAAAATTTTTTGAAAAAGAGTTAAAGTTCATGGAAAAGTATAACTTAAATAAATACTTTATGAGAAAGTGTAAAAGTTTATGGGAAAGAGTTAAAGTTTATGGAAAAATGTAACTTAAATAAATACTTTATGGGAAATATAAAAGTTTATAACTACAAGAATCTGCTGAATCTGCAACGGACAAATTTCGTGGCAGAAATGAAAATCCCGTGGCGGATTTCAATTTTGCTACGGATTTGCGACAAAACTAATCCGTGGCAAAAAAATTGTGGCAGATTTTGAATCTGCCACGAAAAATCATATCCGTGGCAGATCTGCAACGGAATTTTCCGTGGCAGATCTGCTACGGAATCTGCAACGGACATTTCTACATTTCGTACCATACTACTCTAGCGACGGAAAGGGATCAGCCATAGAATCTGCAACGGAATTTTCCGTGGCAGATCTGCTATGGAATGTTTAGACATTAGTTTTTAAAAAACCTTTGCTAATTTTGCTCATTATTTAGTTAAAACACAACACCACTCATTGGTTCAACATACAAAATAACATAGGACATTTACAAAAGGTCATATCATCATTACACAAGCACAAATATGAATATGTTTATTATATATACCTTTCAAAAAGTCATCACAAAAAAATTAAATGCCATAATGATACTTGAGATATGATACAGTTTCTTAATCTCTCATTGGGTAACTATTTGTGAGGTTTTATTCAACACTATCAAGGCACTACTACAACACTTTAAGACTAGTACACTGCCTCTCGT